CTAATTAGTTGGTAAAACTGAAGAAGCTGCTTGGATAGGCAGTTTCAAGGAAAAATTAATTCCTGTTGCCATGACTCAATTTTCAAAGAACTCTACTTGGATGATTGAGAATCTTCATTGAAATATCATGTACACTAACTAGTATCATATCTCCAGATATGTAGTGAAGTACGGTAATTATATTACAACAGAACTAAAGTCAGACTTTGGAAAATTAAGCTTAACTGAATCATGATACTTGCCATTTATTAGAATTGTAAAACATGAATTATAAATATGCCTGCAGATATAGATAGATAGATAGATAGATAGATAGATAGATAGATATAGATATATAGATATATAGATATATAGATATATAGATATATAGATATATAGATATGTATATGATAAAGAGATATATATAAATGGGTGAGTAATATTAATCCTAAATACGCAAAAGGATCTGGGTTTATAGAGAAGGGAAGTGGGAGAAATTATGAAAATTTATACAGGCATTAAATAATCACTGACTATAGAAAGGGTTAAGTCATATGCAAATATCAGGCCAAATGAATAAACAATATATAAGGCAAGCTTAGCAAGAACCAAGTATGGCAAAAATAAATTCTATGGATGGATTTTATGCATCACATTTTCGGCAGTGTTAATATAATGAATATTTTCAATTAGCACTGTTTAACAAAGAAGGTTTCCCAGAATTATACTGTAATTAAAAGAGTTCTCAAATTATTCCAGGCTTTACTAACTTTGGTAGCTTATTTTATTTCTTTTCATCGAAGCTATCTCTTCTTTTGGTTAAAGAAAAAAAAGGTTGGTTAAAGATTTTAAAAGTTTTCAGTCTTTTTGATTTTTATAATACAGGTGTACTGGATTTGTTTTGGTTTTTTTTATTCAGTCAATTCCTACACACAAAGTCATGGTGTTTCAAATGTTACTAAACTACTATCCCCAGCAATCCCAACAGTTGGGGATAATATTGAGAGTTTAGAATTTTTCAGAAATTCTCAGATTCATTTCTTATGATATACACATTTATTTAGGTATATTTTAAGTGGACATCGGATTGCACCATCACCATATCACAGAGTAGCCCTTGGTAGATTAGTAAAGAAAACCTTGGAAAAGATATTTACATGCCATGATATTTTTTTTATTTACAAAAATTAGAACTGTGAAAGCACTGGGTTTCCCTGAGACATTGTAGGGCAATAGAAATTTGACTTTGAAGAAACATTAGAAACTAGAATACTGACAGTTCTGAACTTTGATTTTGTAGGAGACTCCTAAGAATACCATGAATAGTCAAAATGATCAGAAAAACAAATCAATATACGGTTCTCACTTGAGGCACAAACGGCTAAGCTCAAATTGTTATATTTTGAACACATTATGCAACACCTAGTTTTCTTGAGAGATCTACAATAGTAGGAAAGAAAAGAGAAAAGGAGGACAGACAGCAAGAGTGGATGGACTGGATCACTGTGCAATGGAAAGCATGAAAAACCAGATAATCCCAAATAAAATCTTGTTATGTGGTTGTTAAGAGTCAACAGCAATTTGATACATATACATGTGTACCCCTTTCACATTGCAATTTGCTAACTGTACTTGAAGACAAACTTAGAAAGGTTTACCAGATTCTTACCAATTAAAAAAGCAAATATTTGAAATCAAGTAATTCCATGATGGCTTTTAAATATATGTATCTAAATTGTACATAGATTAAATTAAATTAAAGTTGGTCCTGATTTGGATTAGGTAGCAGTCCAGGAAGAAATGGTGCTTAACCTTCTTCTCCTGCTGTTTTTTATAATTGAAAGCTTTACTACCAACCCCAATAGGAAACGTTTCTCACTAGCAGCAATAACTTTAACAACAATTTTAATTAGAAAGATATTAACTCAAAATTTTATCATTTTCAGCTAAAAACAAACATTGGGAAATCCCATCACACTCCCACAGAAACATATGTAATTTGGCATTTAGCATGATATACAGAGAAAGATATCGCAACTAACAACAATAAAAGAGAAAGAAGTATATAGACCAACAAATGTATTTTCTATAAAGTGGATTTTTTTGCAAAACAGGACAACATTTTAAACGGTATCATCATTTTCAGTGATAATACAGCCTATATAATTAAGAAAGGTATGATGAATATGATGATATAAACAATAAAGACATACTTAAAAATACTGTTTAAAATATTTTGGGTGTATTACAAATATACACTGATATTAGAAAGATACTTAAATTATCAATATATCAATGTATATAAATCAATAATCAATATAAAATTATCAGCATGATTATTAAGTTATTATGCGTAGGCAGCTTTAAGATGAGAGAGAGATACTGATTAGTGATTAACAGGTAAGCATTCTTTTTTGTAAGAAGTGTGATAAACGTGTCATCAGACTAATAATATAATATGGAGTGTGATTATGAATAAATGCTCTCATTAAGCCACTTAATATCTGTTATTAAGCTATAGTTGGAAAATAACTTAATTATCTTTTCCATGATCGATTATAATTTTATGGAGGCATGCAAGGATGCTCAGAACTTTGCTCAAAACTTCATGTTGTTGTTGTTGTTGTTAGTTGCGAAGTCATGTCTGACCCATTGCGACCCCATGGACAACTTTCCTCCAGGCCTTCCTGTCCTCTACCATCCCCCGGACACCATTTAAATTCACGCCAGCTGCTTCAGTGACTCCATCCTGCCACCTCATTGTTTGCCATCCTATTCTTCTTTTGCCCTTAATCGTTCCCAGCATTAGGCTCTTCTCCAGTGAGTCCTTCCTTCTCATTAAGTGGCGAAAGCATTTCTCACTATTCCACCTTACTATTTGTAATAATTTTCAGTCAATAATTTTTGCCAAGACTTTAAATCTAATTATGTTATAAAAATATAATGATAAAACTGGAAATATCTGCAGAAATTAGCATCTTTCAAAAGTATTTTGAAGCTGAGATTTTTTCCCACCATGGTAACGAGAGGTAGTCTAAATATGACATCATAAATTTAGTGTGTGTGTGCAAATTATATATTTATGTAACTAGAAATTAAATACTGAGGCTGAAACTCAAATAATTTAGTTACCAAATGTGAAGAGATCCTGATTTGGGAAAAGATTGAAGGCAAAAGGAAAAATGGGACAGCAGAAGATGAGATGGTTAGATACTGCCATTGACACAGTTGGCATGAGTTTGGGCAGACTCTGGGAGACAGTGAAGGGCAGAGGTGGTGGTTTTGGGGTTCTGGAGTCCATGGGGTCGTGAAGAGTCAGACACAACTTAGCGACTGAACAACAACAAAGAAATCATAAGAAGCTTAAATGTACATTTGCCCTGAATATGATTTTTCCTTTCATTTTTCTGATATTAGCAATACACACACCTGGTATAACAGCTAAGAGAAGCTTAAATACAGTTTCTAATTTTTATGATGATGGTACAATACCAAAACCCTGCCCCAGAGGTTTTACAGGTGATACAATAGACCATCTCACAAAGTAGCTAATATTGGTAAAGAAGCACTAATTCAGATCATGTCACAAAGCAAGAGTTTTCCAATATATGGTCTATTTTGGATGACAGCATTGTGTTACTTTGCAAATTTGGGACACCAGGTATTGGAGTCATAGTTATTTCTTATTCTCTGACACTGAGTGTGAATATTTGAAATCATAAAACTACTAGTAGAGTGACACCAACAATGACTTTGTTTCTGTTTGGATTGAAAAGTGCTTGCAATAAAAACTGGATGACACAAGCATAAACATCTTGTGTTTAGTGCTTGTCAATTATACTACTGTTTGATGTTATGCAAAGTCATAATTTGGGCTTTATATTTTACTTTGAACATATTTTGGGCATATTTTGGCTTTAAGACTTACTGAGATAAAATTAATAATAATATAGGCTTGCTCAAAGCCTGTATTGAGTTCTGCTAGATGAAACATATTAAACCTCTTATTTTGAGTTGTTTCATGGAACCTGGTGAAATAGTTATCCCACGTATACAATCTAATTTGATTCTTAAGTATTGATTTGTGTGTATGTGTGTGTGTATGTATGTGTTTAGCCTGAGATTTGCTGAACACTTTAAATTTTAAAATGGAAAGACAGTAGATTCCAGATGTTCAGCATAAAGATTCAGTTATTTGGCCTGTTGGTTGAAGTGCCAAAGTCCCAGGTCTTTTTCTGACATCTCCTTGTAAAAAAATATCATGGATCAGTGCTGATGAGGAAGAGGACAGGAATTTCTTTCACCATTAAAACCAAGATGCTGTTGCTAATGAAGGGCACAAGAGAAACACTGAAGCTGATCAGATACAAGTGAGATTAGAAAATGCTGGTTTGTACTGTGCTGTCCTGTAGCCATAATAACTCCTCTTCATGTCCTGGGCAGGCATATCTCTCGGTTGGTTATATATCATAAAACACCTGCTTGCAACTGGTTGCCTGGGCCAGAAGACTGGCATTGGACCAAGTTAGCGCAGGCACTACAAGAAACCTTTTTAGTAAGAAGCAAAACTAATATTTCCTCGCCAAAGCTTAAGGAAGGCTTTGAGGAATTCTTCCTCCCCGCCTGAGGTAAGCCCGCCTACAAGCGTGTGCGGGGTGGGCTGCCCAACACAACCCCCCCCCACCTCCGCTATCCCTCGAGGCAACTGGCGCGGGAGAGAAAAGGCGCCCGTGACGGGACCTAGCCGGGCGTTGCACAGGCGCCTAGTTGGTGCTCGGCGGCGCTGCGTGTGCGAGGGAGCGTGTGTGGTGGCAACAGGCCGGGGAGGGAGAGCAGCAGGGGGCTGTGCCTGGGCTTGGGCTTGTTGGGGGGGGGAGAGGCTCTCTTCCACGCCGCACTCAAGTGACATTCAGGGCGAACACCACATGTCTAACTCAGCCACCCGGGCAGGCAGCGCATTACTAAGACTCGCGCGGACAAACGCCTTTCCCTCTCGGCTGGCCTAAACGTTAAAATAAACTCATTGCTGGCCGTCGCTCTCGGGTTCCCAAGAGATCCTCTCCCCTCCCAGCGCCAATTTCGCCTCAGTCTCTCTCTCTTTTTTTCCCTTTGGAGAGTTTTCCTCGCTGGAAGAATGGAAACAATCTAACCAGCCTCCGCCTGCCCTCCTTCTGCCCGCTGAAAACAACACCAACACCAACAAAAAAAAGAACAAAATCAAAGGAAACGAGCGGCCGAGTGCGACGCAAGTGGCGACGAGGGCTTCGGACTTGGGGGAAAGTCTATTCGTTGCCTTGCCCTGCTGTTTCTTGGCAGGCAAGGAACTCCGGGCGAGCTCGGTGGTCCTTCGGAGCCGAGGCTCATCGCCTGACGAACTTTGGGCAAGGTCGGCGCAGGCCAAACAAGGCTTGGCTCTTCAGGTAAGCGGGACGCCGGGCAAGGTTTTCCGCGCGGCCACAGCTCGCCGAGTTGGGGGGCAGTAATTCCAACAGTAGCAGAGAAGCCATCCTAAATCGCCTGGCTTGGGCGGCTAAGGAATTCTGAGCCTTTGGACGGGATCTCGCTGATGCTTTAGAATAGTTGGAGTTAACTATTGATTTTCTTTGGGGCGTAAAGGAGAGCCAGGTCTGCTCCGCTCCTGATTCTCCCTCCTGAGTCCACGGAAAGGAATCTGGGTTTCAGCTTCGAGCCCTGCCTAGATTGCCCCGATTGCCACTCCAGGAAGTTGCAGAACCGTTTACAGATTCCTAAGAGGCTGCGCGCTCTGTGTGCAGCATCTTTGGAAACTTGTAAATATATGGCTATTCTCTCTCATCTCTTTCTTTTCTCCACCTTCTTCACTTTTATAATGGCAACCAATTCATTAGGTTGTTTGCCGTAGTGGACTACCCAGCACATAACTCTGAAAAAGATTGAGGGTCAAGACCTAAAGAAGGATATTCTAATTTTGACAGACAAGATCCGATCTCTCTTAGGAACTTAAATCTGTAAAGTTTTATGAAGCCTGGTGGTGGTTGTTTTTTTTCCAATCTCAGGGTAGCACCATTTCTCTTTTTATGTTCTTGCGGTTTTTGTTGGCTTTCCGCAATCTTATGATGAGACGATTCTGCCTTGCCAGTCTTAATCCCGATTGTCGTCACTCCTTTCCCTAACAACAGTGTGCCTGCCACTGGGAAGGAAAGAGAAGGAACAGCCCAGAGTAAATCTTTTCCTCTGCCAGTTGGTGGTGTGGGGCAGTTTCAATGAGATTCAACTTTGCAGAGTCGCTCAACAAGGTTTCATTATTTCCCTTCACTCCAAAGTTACTTTCTGTCCTGTTCCTTCCCATTCCCTGCGGTTTATTTGATGTAACACATGAGGAACTGAGCAAAGGCTCCCTATTAGACTTATTGGAGCTCAATGAGTTTGTAGAAGCTTTTCTACAAGCCTGTCTAAAAGCTTTTCATTTTTGGTGCCTGGAATGTTTGCTTATTATGTTGGTTTTCTTTCAATCCAACAGTAACATGTCCTTTTCTAAGGTGAACCATTTATTATTTCTACTGTAAAGTTTTTCACAAAATAGGAGCAGACATAGGTGGCAGGTTTGCATTCAGAAAGTTGTTGCAAAAGGAAAAGCAAGAAATGCAGAGTAAGCAAGAAGAGATAGATAAGGGGCATAAATGTATAAGATACATATATATTTAATGTAAATTCTTACATTCCATCTATGATTGTAATTACTTTCTTCCAAAATTTTGTGCAGCCTAAATACTTAGAGGATATGGGATACTGGCACTTGCCTCCATCTAAATCATCATCATAGCCTGACCAAAGCAAAATTTAAACTATCAAGCTGAAGTGTAATCAGTTGTTTAAAAACAGTCAGAATAGTTTCAGCCATGTAAATTTTCATATTTTTTTTCAATGCTTTGGCTTGTTTTCCAAATTTCAGTAACAGTTGGTCCTGGGATTAATTTCAGTTTTATCTTCTACTATGTTTCAAGTGCTTGACACACACACACACACACACACACACACACACACACCATGCAAATAAAAAATAAAATATTTCTTTAAAAATATGTCTTGTTTTCAATAGACCTGCTGCATAGGATTATTTATTATTAAGCATACATTCTACAGAAATAAATATGGTTTTCTAGATGATTTTAAAATAGTTTTCACTTATGCATTTTTGGAAATTCTAGTATGGAATAGCCTTGTATTTGATTTTGGCAATGACCCTGCTTTAAATTGTCACAATAAAGCAAAGTAATTGAACCTGTGCTAGTAGAACAAGTGAAAATTAATTATTTATGGATTGTATTAGACATTTTAGTTAACAATTGAAAACATGACTATGAAATATCTCTTCATTATTTGTAAATAGAACTTTTCAATCTCTCAAATAATATATAATTGGTGAATATCTGTACTCTTTGTACAGGACTTATTTAATACTTCCATGATTAAGTATCCTAACTTTCTTCAAGTTAGATAAGTTAGTGATACAGATCAGTGCAATATTTTGCCAATACCACTGACAAATGGGGAAGGGGTGGAGAGACAATGCTGTCTTTGAAACAAGTGGAAAGATAGGGAACAGAAGTTCTGTTTGTAGCTCTTCAGCTCTATTGTTATTCTTGACCACTTTTTAAAAACAAACAATGCACAAACCTGAATATGTGACATTTTCATTGAACAATAATATAGATGCTCACAATAAAAATTATTTTAAAAAGATGGTCTGTTTAATTTTGAATCAGTAATAGCGTAGGGGAATTATAATGGTAATATGGGATCAAATTCCAATCATAGCATCTTTTTTAAGGATTTGGTTGGTTACTCTCTATGCTCAACTGTGTGTAAAAATGATTTCAGATTCATTTGAGCGGCTTAGATTTCCCCTTTTTAAATTTGATAACTGAACCAAAATTGATAGTATCAGATTTTATCTCAGATACTTTTTCACATAAATCTATATTTGACTAGTCCATTTCTGTGCATGTCTGCTCAGAAACAAGTGCCATTGTTAATAGGATTACTTCAAAACAGGTCTTAGACTGCAGTCCTATGAACACAGCTGTTTTATTTCTGAGTAAACATGTGTATTAGTTGCATGTCTAGTATTATGACATTAAAGAAGTATCCAGAAATGTATTTAGAGACAAAATATAATGGAAATACAGGGTAATTCTATAATATTAAACCTGCTTTTTGTTAGAAAACTATAGAGTAATTTTGAAATGCATATTAGAAGAGGCATTCAGGAACCTGAATAATTCAAGTCTCAAGAATATTAATGTGAATACAGAGTGAACCTGTATAGTCACTTAATGCAGATTGTGAAGATAGGTTTTATTAATATTTATTATTTTTATTACATAATATAATAATATTGTTATTATTATCCAGATGTTTCAAATACAAAGACATTGAAGAAATTAGAATAAAATTAAAACAATGGAAACCATATTTTAGAAACAGCATGTAGAAACAATATTGATAGAAGATATCAAAATAGTGAGACTAAAATACATCACTTATTACATAACAGTTATAACATTTATTATAGAAAACTATTATATATTACATAAAAGCTATATCAGGCATCAGAGAAAGGAATTAGAAATAAAACCTAGACAACAGGACACCTGGCACCAAAAAAGGGTAGCAGGTGTAAAGGAAAGGCATTTCAAAACCAGAGAGACCATAATGAAAAGGCATTTTATTCCATGGATACCTTCAAACTTTTCACTGAGGGCCATAGCAAGAAAAAGAAAAACATTTTGAAGATTATAAAGAGACCAAACAGATCCACACAAGAAGATACATTCCATCTTATTGAGATTACAAATCACTTAGAGGTTTATAGGTCAAAATTAGTATGTTGAATTGTATGTGATAGTTCTTTGGAAGACAGACAAGTACTGGTGCAATTGATTCATAATGCCTGGTTCTTATTAGAACCTTTGCAGGATTAAACCATGTTTAGGGGTAGCTTTATCTTATAAACATTCAAAGACAATTGCACTGAATGAAACAATGGCTAATAGTTTTATCTTCATTTTTTACATTTTTGGCAAGTAGTTCATTACAATATTGCATTTATAATGCAGCTATTTTTAACTTATATATGGGTAAAACTTATGTTTCTAGAAATGTATATCCATGTTATTGTCTAATGTTCCTATCATAAATGGGTCTTGTAAAATAAATAGTCATTTATACCAATGATTTATCATTTTTGATCAGCCATATTCCTAACAGGAAATATTCTTTTGAACCCTTCTCACTCTTTTAAAAATGACATTTTTAGTATAGAGGGATTTTTTTTTTTAAAAAAGGACAGGTTTATTTCTTTATTTACATATATTTATATGCCGCCCTTCTCCCGAAGGACTCAGGCGGCGAACAGGTTAAAGATTATTGGCATTTTCTTCTCCTTTTATAATGGAAATGAACTGAAATATGGGATAATCTGAAGGACATATTTTAGTTCTGACATTTTTTATTTTGTGAAAAAATATTATTCGATATTGGCATATCATCACTATTCTTTTATATTACAAAATCTGCAGAATTTTGGCAGAACTTTGGAAATATTTCTTATAGATTCTTATTTTGACATGTTTTATTACATAGACATTCATGCACATACAATTGGTATTTTAGAAGCCACCGAAGATGTATTGTGTTTTATAATCCACATTAATTGCATGATTATGGTGGGTTAGAAATATTATATTTAAAGCATCTTAGGGTCAAAAATAAATATCTTTAGATAGAGCTTGAAAAGATTTATATTTGAATTTTTGGGGCAGTCATAGCATATATTATAATAACATATTATGTATAATCTCAGTTGAGCCACTTGTTATGTTTCTATTAAATTATGCTAATTATATTTTAGTATTATAAAAATTAAATATATTTGGACAATTATAATTTTAGGTCTAGGGCTGCCATTTTGATTCTTGCTGTTCTGTCTGAATGAAAATGTTTGCCCTCCTTTAGTCCTTTAGTTTGTGCCAACTGGTCAGAAGACAGTTGCTTGTTTACTTGACAAAGATGTAATCTATTTTATGTGATCTATTTGATGCTATTGCCATATTATTATTATTTGGAATAACTGTTACTCAAAGACATAATATTTAAAAATGATTAATATAATGATTAATTCATGCCTGTTAGATGCATATATGAAGATAAATAATGCTCAAATTATTATATATATATATATATATATATATATATATATATATATATATATATCGTAACTATTAGTGCAAGCAGATTAAGATATTAATAGAGAAATAACTAGAAATAGAAATAAAAGTATCCCTTATGCTTAGACTTAAACTAATATCAGATCCATTATTGTTAATAGTATGGGAAAGAAATTAAACTGCAAGATATGACTTTTCTCCATGTTTTAGAT